CGTTGGACTGTTTATTACATCAGTCATGAGTTGGCGTAGTGTCAGACGATGTGAAAACGAAAAACATTCAAATCTCATCATAAATAGGATAACAATTATGGAGGTTTAAAAGACGATGTTGATTAGCGCGATGCATTTTTTCAAAAAGGTGCCTTACAATCCTTCGGGCTTTGGGTGGGGTGCGATCTATGGAATTCTTAAATCCTTGCCCACACAATACTGCATGCCATGTAAACACGTTTTTTTTGCTGTTGTAGTAATAGCTATTAATGGTAACAACAACTACAGCAGTAGCGTTGATAATAACAAATGTAAAAATAACAGGAACAACAATAACGCTAAGCTGAATTTATTTTGCCTTTTTTCTACCATTGTTGCTGGTTTTGTCGGTGGCACGTTTTCTAGTTCGCCATCAGATTTGGCCTTTAAAAAAAGCTTGAAATATGCGAATAAGTGACGCCATTTAATTCCTAAACAGTTTTTTGCATTGTGCGCCTCTCATCCTCTCAAATTATGCTTGCCAATTAAGAAATATTTTGACGTTGTAGAACTGACAATCGAGCGATCCGAAGAAAATGGTGGAAATGTGAGGGTTAGTAGTTGCGCTGAACTGGAGAGGATTATCGTGAGTGGGTGCTTGCATCCAGCTGATTTGAAGGCAGCAGTTGTATCGGAAATCAACCGTTTTTGTGATCCAATTAGAGAACATTTTTCATCTCGGCTCAAGCTAATCTCCGCCGCATTCCCAAATAAAAAGCGCGGAAAAAAGTGATTTCCATTTTATTAGGGGTGAGAAAAGTTAATACGACTTTTCTGCACGAAGTCATGTGTGAAAAATTGTGCTAAATTTGCAGCTTAATACCGTATGGTCTTAGTAGCCAAAGAAAAATTCCTGGTTCTGCCCCGGTTGTGTTGTTGTATGTGGAGCTTTTTTGTTGTTATGAATGTTTGTTGTTATTATCCTTCCACAACGTGTCAGTACAAACTGGAGGTATGGCACAGTAATGCATCGAGGCCAAGAAACGATTCTTTTTTAAGTTAACGTTAGATGTAGAATGCTTAGTCAGAGGGGCGCAAGATTTTTAAGAAAGATACATGAAATTTATTCAAAGTAACATTAGCCAAAATAGCATTCAAGTCGGCCCGGTAGATGTCTTTAGCACTGCATCAGTTCAGAAACACCGGTATTAAAGCTAAAAAAGTTTTAAAACAATACAGTCAAATGAAGAACAAAATCAGCACAGACCCCTTTCTTACCCGTATATCTGTTTGTTATTGTTGTGCGGAGTGTAGGTCTCCTCCCCGGGAGCATTCAGAGTGCGACTCAGCTACTTTATAATCTAAAGTTTTTTGTTTTCCTGCCTTCCATGCGCATTGACACAGTGCGCCACTGATTTTTTGCCAATGCACGAATGTTTGCACAGTGCACCGTACGTTCCATTAAAGAGCAGCTGGTGACGGTGGTGATGATGTAGGCAAACACTACTTAAGTGAGATTATCAGACGATTATTAGAATTGGAGGGATACTTACTGTCTTTTGCTTCCTCATTAGCCTCTGTCTCTTGCAAAGCATCACATGCAGCTTCTAGAAATGAGTTTTGAACGAAGAATAAATGGATTGGAAATTGTTCATCAAAGCTACATTTTCAAGGTGTTTTAAAGTTTCCCTAACATCACTGTGAGACTGCTGCTCATGGCCATTTCCTCTTTCGTGCTTGCCATTGCGTTACTTTGCGCTGATTTAAAGTGTCCGAAGTATCAAGCCAGCCTCCTCAAGCTGGATAGTTATGATGGAATTTGGTCTTCAAGTAGATGAGAAAAGAAGATGTGCACAAATGATTCTCCGAAGCTGGAAATAATGTTGTTAGCAAACGTTCAGTCCAATCTGGAAATGGGTAAATCACAAATAAGTGTTTGAGTCGTGCAGTACCCAGCTTGGCTGATGGCTGGTAACAGTCACTTTAAAGTTGAGGGTCAAGCTCCGGAAACTAAGAAGGATCAACCTTGAAGTGGTGGCAGAGATGCGACGTGTGATATGATAATGATTAACGCGAAGAAAAGAAAAGCTAGTCATACTGGTCGTAGGATTTGAGTAAAAAGCAGTTGAAGCTCGGATTAAATTCAAGCAATAGTAATAAATAAAGGCTGTGCTCCGGAAGGAGGATGACCACGATGAGTTGTTTGAGCTCAGAGTAGCTGACTGCGACAAAGCATGCCTGAATTTATTTACGCCTTCACGATGGTTTTCTTGACTTGTTCTGAAGTTCAGTACCTAAGTGCAGGATTTTAAGATCTCTTTATTCTCAGCGGCAGTGCAGTGCGGGCTACATATGAAAGAGAGACAACGATGGGCAATATATGAGAAAGACAAGTGGAGATCACTTGTAATTTATCACGGTAGAAAGTAGGGATTACATATTTACAATATTTTCTTAAGCTGTCTATTTGCTTTTCAATGCACTTCTTCCAGCCATCCCGGGCCTTGTTTATATCCTCGCTTAAAAAGGTGATTGGTCGGGCGCTTATTAGCGCACCAATTCTTGTAATTCTTCATATTCAGCAAAAGGAAAACTTCCAGAAGTATCTAAGAGATCCACTGGGGCTCTAATCATTTACAAAGGAAGTCTATACTATCATTTAGTTGAGGCAGAAATTCAAAAACCAGTTTAACAATGTAGACGGTCGTGCGTCGGCGCGCATCAGGGTTAAACGTTTCATACTGATGACTAGTTATGCGTTTTTGCATCCTTATCGGAATATATATATATATATGTGTGTACATATACATATATATACATAGTTATATATACATATATATATGTATATAAAAATGCGCATATATATATATATATATATATATATGCGCATTTTTATGCGTTTTTGCATAAATGCCAAAAAGCATGTTTTGACGACCGTGGTGTGTAAGTGTCTGTCTGTTTGTCTCTTCGGGTATTTCAACTCGGCAACCAAGCAAGCTTCGAGCTGGAATTTCATCAGTGGATTTTTCGACCAAGTATCTTCCAAGGATCACGGTACCAACCCTCATGTACGTCTGGACCCTGTTTACGAGCGCTTGAAAGTTTTTGCGGGAAAATGACTGGCTCTGGAACCAGAAAAGCTAGGAGGCTGAAATTTCCAGGAGATGTTCCCAGCCCACGCACAAGTTGAAGATTTCAAATTCAACTCTGGCGAGGATGGTTCTCACCTACAGCCCCGTGAAAATTTTTGGCGAGAAAGTCGTTAACTCGGAAACCTGGAAAGCTGAGAAGCTGAAATTTTAGGGGGATGTTCCCAGCGCACGTTCGGCTTAAAGATTTCAAACTCAGTCTCCAGCCGTGCGTGGTTCTCATGTACGGGCCCGTCAAAATTTTTGGCGGGAAAATTGCTAACTCGGGAACCAGAGAAGCTGGGAAGCTGAAATCTTAGGGGGATTTCTTTGTCCAAGCACCACGTAGTCGCAAAATTAGCTTCCTGAACCTCGAGGACCCATATGTTACAAATTCTAACTACTGAGATTCCAAACGATTGTACTACGGCACGAAATACTGCAAAAACGCATGGCCACATGAGTGCACCTGGTGCGTGTCGCCAATAATTTATCATCCACTTTCAACTCAGCAAACGGAGAAGCTGGGAAGATGAAATTTTTAAAGCATGTTTCCACTCCGTGTACGATGTTCTATTTTTAAAATTAACGTCCACTTACGTGTGGGCCGTACTTACAGCTAGCTGGAAAAATCCATGCCGTTTTTTTTTTTTTTTTTTGACATTAGAGCATTTTCGAAAACCAGACAAAATGACGAGCTGAGACTATATAAGCGCATTCTTGTTCTTGTGTGAAAAAAGGGAGTTTTCGAACTCAGCTTTTAATGCATGCCTGCGCCATACGCACAGGCATGTCAAATTTGAAATCCAGTTGCCGTTGGCAAGGTGCCGGCTCGAGGATCAAGCTATGTTGAGTGCTTTGTCTTTCCGAAAATATTGTTGTCCCTACACAGACGAGTAGATGTAACATAGACTTTGGCCCGCATGTGTTGTGCATTCAGACACGTAAAAGGTGTAACAAAAAGCGATTTCTCCAACTAGTCAATCTAGGAAGCAGAAATTTTGCGAGAGTCGGAATATTTCAAATTCAACTTTAAAGCAGGGCTAGTTTTGATACGTTTTTTGCATCTATGCAATGCAGAAAACGCATATTGACTAGGGGTTGTCTGTGTGTACGTCTGTATCGATTTTTCATCTCAAGACTTATAAAAGCTACAGGACTGAAACTTTGGGAACTTAATCTACATGCACGTGCGAGCCCCAATCCTCAAAATGGGCGCTCTTATCCGCGTGGTACCTCACGTATGGGCCCGCTGAAGTTTTCGGCAGGTAAGCTGCCAACTCGAGAACCAGAAAAGCTAGAAAGCTGAAATTTTAAGGATATGTTCCACAACTATGCAGATATTAATGAGCTCGAACTCAGCTCCCGAATATGTTTGGTTCTCACGTACGAGTTCGTAAAATTTTTTTTCAGGTGAGTTGCTAATTCGGAAACCTGAAGAGTTAGAAGACTGGAATTTTAAAAAGATGTTCCCCGCCCACCTAGGTCCTAATGAGTTCAAACCTAGCCCCCGGGTATGCATGGCTTCTACGTATGAGCTCGTGAAAGTTTTCTGCGAGCAAATTAGTAACTCGGGAACAAGGAAAGCAAGAAAGCTGGAATTTTAAAGGAATGCTTCCTGACAGTCCTGGCATCTAGTCTCAATTCTTTTAGCTAGAAGCATCTGTCGGGAAACCGATGCCGTTTGCGACAAAAATGGAAACTATGCAAAAAACGCACCTTCGCCCCGGCAGTCGGTGGGCTGGTTATTTATTAGCATTTCATTAGCCAGCATTTCACAAAACCTATAGATTTCTGTCCGGAATATTGTTCTAGTATTGACCCTTCTGAGTGTCAAGACATGGTTAATTTGCTTAAATCCTTCGCGGGAGTTCTTCACGCGAGACAATGGTTGGCTTAAATTCACGGGAGTTCCGAGTGTTTCCATTCCATACGCTGGCGATTGCACATTGATCCAGTATGATAAACCCAGATCACATACGGACAAAGATGAAGCAATCTAAAAAAAAAAAAAAAGTCTGACCTGTGACGAATGTGCGGTTAATTTTCTTCCTAAAGCGATGCTGGAAGCGAATTGCCAGAACTTATGTGGAGAATATCACATTCGTAGACATCGTAATTCGGGTAATATAAGGATCATTTTTTCGAATCTTCATGCTAAATCTATTGCCCTTTTCGTTTCACCGGCTACTTCCCCACGCTTAGTTTTCGGTTCTTGACTAGTTATTTTTATTCTTGCAATTTTTAATTGTTCATCTCCGCCGAATTTGATTTCCATCAGACTGAAATGAATCCATTTTATTGTTCTCCGGGTAATGTTCCCAGTTTTGCCTTTTTTTACAGTAGAAAATTCTTTTGCATCTGTAGCGTGGGTGTTCTGTGGCCACTGAAACATTTCTCGTCATAGTGGTCATCTACATCCCCTTTTTCCTGTGCATCTCTGTCCAGCTGCTACAAGTTCATATCATTCTTCGTTGTTTGCAGAGGGCCGGATGTCTTGTTTCCCGTTCGGTCATCACAAAGTAATCCACCATTTCTTTTCTTTCCTTCCGTACCTCCAAAGGAGAAGTTGGGGGTGCCCGCATTTGGGCTTTCAGTGGAACCGAAAGTGAATTGTCCCGCCATATTTGCCACCTGTGGTGCCCTTTAGCATGAGGAATTCTCA